TATATATATATATATATATATATATATATATTTATACATTTATAATGACTTCTGATAATGCTTTATTTGTGTGTGTTTCAGTCTTTGTCATGACGGCTCTCTGCAGTGTGATTTACGGGAATGTAAAGGTATAACGCTTCTATTTTTACCCGTATAACCATATTTAGCCATGAGCGTCTATTGTTCCTTATTTTAGACACAGATCAAATCATCTGAAATCTAATAACGCTTTTCTGCCTGTTCATGAATAAATCCCAGTCTCTCTGTCTCTCAGTGATGGTCAGTGAGTGGTCAGAATGGACCTCCTGCTCTCCGTGTATCCCAGCATCCTCCGGCGGGAACGCTTCAGGGCTGGTGTCGCTCCAGCGGCGCTTCCGGGCCTGTCTGGACCTGGACTCCGGTCTGCCGGTCAGTGGGAGAGAGGAAGAGTGTGATGAAGAGCTGGAGGAAGAGCGAATCTGCCCGCAGTCTGACATCTGCACCGGTGGGTCGCCCGCAGACGGTTACCATAGTAACACATCATCATCAAACGCTTCCTGTATCAGACTCTCAAACATCTGACTGTCATCAAAGCAGAAGCCAAAGGGCAGTGGATCCGGGTCGGGGGTACTGAACCGGACGACCCGCACTGATATTAAAACACTATCAACAACACATCTCAAGTACTGTAGAGATACACCGGATAGCAGGGCATCTGTCCAATGACTTAACTCGGCTTATGAATATTAATTACTTGACATGATAGATGTTTGTAATCATTAACTTAAACAAAATCTATTAAAAACTTTTTTTCGTTAATTGAAATTAAACTGAAATAAAATAAATACAAAAATTGAACAGAAATTAGAAAATTAGAGTCACCTTGGCAACTAACTGAAATCGTTTGTTGAAGCATAAAAATAAATAACTGAAAAAAAAAATAAAACCCTAAAACTGATCTAAAACTAAAATAAAAATAAATTAAACCTGAATAGTAATATAAAAAAATATATATATATAAAAAAATGATAGTAATAAAAATGACAAAAGCACTTAAAAGCACATAACAGAATTACTCAAAATAATTGTTAGCTAAAATTTAAACTGTTAAAAACATTTTTTGTTAATTGTTAATATTAAGGTGAAATAAAACAAATAAGAAACTTGAAGAAACAAAAATTAGAAAATTAGAGTCGACTTTGCAGCTAACTGGGAAAAAAAAATATTAAAGCACTAAAATTACTATCTGGAAATAAATAAAAATGAAAAATAAAAAATGAATTGAAATTAAATGAAAATAAATTGACATGAATAGCAGTGTTTAAAAATAATAAAAAGAGTTAACAAACTATTTTAAAAAAATTGTTAATTGATCAAATAGAATAAACAAAAAAGTTGCCTTGGCATCTAATTAAAAAGAATGTTGAAGCACTAAAATTACTAACTGGAAATAAATAAAAACTTAAACTGGACTTAATCTGAAATAAAAAATTAAATACACCTGAATAGCAAAAAAAATAAATAAATAAA